TCTCCCTGGCGCGCGTGTGGCGCGAAAACTCATGAATTCAGCCTATTTTTCCGTTTTTTTATCTGTTTATTAATTTGTCTGTTATAGGCTGGTTTCCAGGTACGAGTTTCTGAATAACGGTTGCTCGAACACTTGAAACATCACCTTTGAAGGCATATGCGCTGAGTATCGCCTAAATTATTGAGCTAGAGTTTACAAAGTGACTTGTTCGGTCCTTTTTTCCCTTTTTGTTGAGCTCAATTTTTGTGCTTTTTGTGAATGATGCGGTTTGAAAATCTGCGTACTGAATGCTGAAGAGCATTGCAAATCCATGATGAAGCATGGACGCAAGCATGGGAAACCGCAACGCTTACAACATATATAAAATATGAGCGTAAATACGTTGATTACTCCATATGTTTTTTGCTACTTACCTTTTTGTTTTCATGGTAAGTTCAGGTTCATATTTGATGTGGGTGATGCGGTTTCTCCATGCTCACTCCATGCATCATCATGGATTTGCACAAATGCGCTTCAATATCTCACCCAGCTTTTCAACCGCATCAGTCACAAAAGCATGGAACCTGAGCATAACAAAATTTGAAAAAAAAAACGCAATGAGCAGTTAGCTCTGTGAGCTCCAGCTGAACGTAGGCAGTATGTAGCGCATCTGCGCTCAACGGTGATGTTTCAAGCCTTCAAGCAACCACTGTCCAAAAACTCATGCTTGGAAACCAGTCCATAACACACATATCAACAAACAGATATAAAAAAAAACACAAAAAAATAGGTTGCTCAGTGAGTGTTCGCGCCCCACGCGCGCCAGTGAGACATTGGCTTGACCTATGCGCTTCGGCTGCAATAGCGGTAACCGGCGCGAAAGCGGCTAACGGCTGCAGAAGCGGCAGCCGGCGCGGTCTGGAAGCTCCCTAAGGCATACTTGCGCGATTCGATTCGATCGCAGGCGCGTAGCTTCTGTAAGTCGTTGTAAACGACTTACAGAAGCTACGCGGACTAAAACCTCCTCAAAAAGGCCATCACGACTAACAGTCACTCCTATGATGAATCGGGCAACGACTGGAATCGCATGAGGTATGCCTTAGGCCTAAGCGACGCCAGCAGCCGCCGCCATTTTCATGATTTTATGATCACCTTATGCCTTACCGCCCTACTCCGCTACACATCTCAGAAGTTGCGCAGTTAGACAGACTGCGAAAATGAGGACACCCGCACATGGTTGGCTGGAATGCGCTTTCGACACATCAAGCAAAACTGTGATACGATTCTTTGCATAGCGCTAGGCCATTCAGTGCTGTAGTGCTCGGCGATTTTACCTCGCTGCACAAGTACAGCTAGAGTGTCACAGTCCATGCGGATCGCCTCGAGAAACTGCCTTGCTTGGGCCTTGCGACGCGTTAGTGGACGCATTGCGCGGCATTTTGCCAACCTTTAACTTAAAGGCAGCGTCCAGGCAAATCTGGACCTATGGGGCTCTCACGTGGAAAGCAATCTTGAGGCCCAAAGTAAGGCTCTGCCCAAGCGGCAGTGCTATCTGCACTATCTGAGCTGCCGCTTGGGCAGAGTATTACTTAAGGCCTCAAGATTACTTTCCACGTGAGAGCCCTGTAGGTCCAGATTTGCCTAGACGCTTTCTTTGATGGCGGCGACGCAAACAAGCTGTTCTATCTACGAATTCATTTTGGAGTAACAGTCATTTTCTAAAAAAAGCAAAGTTCTAGACATTCTACGATGTTTTTCTGCTCAAGCAAGAGCCCTATAAGATTGTATGTTTTGCATATATATCAGAACTGATAGATGAGGTATGATTTCGATAAATGTTTTTTCTGTTTGTTTCTTTACCTTGAAGCTTCTACGCTGCAGAACTGTGTGGGAATGGACTTCTTATCGCATATCTTTGAGGCTGCGCAGATACTCATTCAGGCAGAGCACACAGACTCACTTATAGCCAGGGTTGAGCGTGGATCAGGCGTGCCCGATCTAGGGGGTCGTATTGGGGGTAAGAGCGAAGGGGGAGGGCGTAATCAAGAAGCGAATTTGTTCAAAAAATTGAGGAAATACTACGGTCGAGTGAGGTGAGGCATAAAAGCGCTCAACCATGAATCTCACAACTCCAGCAAAGTAATGACTGTCGGGAAGCATGCTGATTAACTCGACTAAAGAAGTCTCAACCAGATTTCAATTCTTCATCTTACCGTACGCATACCATGAGGTCACCAAAGAAGCTTCTTGTGTAAATTAGGTATGACTTCCGTAATCAACACGCCAAATTACCTCAACCAGCTCCACAAACCCTCCGACTTTCGTTGCGTACCAGCGGCGTTCGATGCTCGTCTGAGCGGAACACGCAAACGCCGCTGGTAGGGCAGTCGCACGCCGCTCGTACGCTGTGGAACTCCGCATGTTCACCCGATTTTTGATTAGTGTACTAACTGCAGCACTGGTTGGTTTGAAAATTGCTATATCGTCATATTTTATGAAGCCGAAATTAGCGCAAAATTTCCTGCTATTTCGATCCATGGACTTCATTGAATCGAAATCAAAGGATTATGACCCACCCAGCTGAGATGTTATCAGGTCACTCAATAAGAACAACAACTCAATCTTATTCCTTTATCAAGTACCGAGAAGTGTTAGCTAACCACTAAAATGCTGCGGCGGCTCAACCACTGCGGGTATGGCTTACGCTTACAGCGTGGGGTAATGTGATGGGACGCCGCTCGCTTGCTTGGGTTGATGGAACGCCGCTCGTCAAAAGTAGGTACGCCGCTGGTAGGGCGCGTTAAGGAACGCCGTTGGTACGCTAAGCGCACGCCCCTGGTACGCAAAGCCATTTAGGTACGCCGCTGGTACGCAACGAAAGTCTGAGCATTACCTATTACTTTTCTAGTGTTTCCTAACATGTGAAAAGCGTGATTTTCAAACATGATGAACTTGCTCACAAAAGTGAAAGAAGCCAGCATTTTGTATTCATAACGGAGTTTTACTCTTTATCAGTCTATGGTAGAAATTGGACTTCATATCGCTTCCAAATAATGGATTAAGAAGTGCTGCCATAATGTTGGTCACCGCTTTTCTACCTCGAGTGCTTCAACTCCACCGATCGCAACAAAGCCAAAACAAATCGAGGTAAGCTCAAACACCTATTATAGAATCTTCGAGGTTTATGCTAGCGAATCATATGAAACTAAGGGGGAAAGCTTCTTCGGTGATAAAATTATTCGGGTCAGCAACCTCCTCAAAAGGTCAGGCTGCCTTCAAAAACCAAGAAAGCTGCAATCCTGGTATGAGTTTTGAGCTCATTCTTCTTGCTACACTGGAAATGAGCCGAACCCCCCTGGAAAAATTATGGCCCTTTCGATAGACCCATTCAGATCAATCATCCGTCAAAATGCGTGTGATTGTACAGTGCAGTCACAGAAAATCGGACAGAGTTTTCAAAATCTGACAACTTTCTAGAAGTGGATGATGTCCTTCAGAATGTCAAACTCTAAGGTTCCAAAGAGTCGTTTTCGAAAGGCTTGTGCCTGACCTCTTGCACAGCTCTGGTTACAGCTCACTTCCCAACCAATGACCAAACAATTCCTTTCTATTCCACTGTAGACGTGTTTGACCTTGCATGTCTGAATGTAGTAGGGATGGAGAGGAGCTGCTGCTTCAAGCAATGAAACGACAATATTGCGGGATGTTGATAGATTTGCTATAATAGATTTTGCTGAAAGGTGGACACCTAAACAGGCAAAAGAAAAGACTGGAGAAGCGGTGCGTTGGTACCATCGTTCGAAGCCTGGCAAAATGCTCGTACGATACCCCCGCTAAGAGACTGACGCCTAAGCGAGGCGACCACGAAGACCCGAGCCGCCGGGGACCCTCACGTTGGGATACCCTTTACCGAGCCATAAGCCACACATTGAAATGCAAGCCTTCCCGGATTTTGACTTCAGAGGTCAGTACCAGCCAAACGATTTTCGTGAAACAAAATTAACAAAAAAAGAGGGATAAATAACTCAAATGTGTCTGTCATAACAGAGAGATACAGTAAGCAAATACGGTCCAGCAGATCTAATCAAAGTCATGCGCAATGCATTTTTCGCCGAACAAGTGCAGCTTATCTCGCAAACACTCCAAAAAAATCAAAAGAACATTAAATTGAAGAGATCGATGCCAGTTCCTAGAAGAAAAAGTTGCGACTACAATGCGACTACAATAAGGTTGCAAATTCCAAACAGTCCCAGTCCCCGGTGAAGCGATGGACTATGCGATAAGAAATCTATGAAAAAACTTCAAAAGGTAAAAGTTTGTAAAAAAAAATTCAAACACGAAAACAAAATGACACATTAGCAATTAAAAAAACCTCTTATAAGGAAAGGATACTTGGTCACCGTGGCCATTCATAATGATTTGTATATCGAAAAATGCGCCTTTTAATGCTGGTTCGAATAGTGTCATCCATATCTGCGAAACGATAATCTGGATGGAGTTATGGTTATTTTTTTTATGAATAAACTGCGTTACTTCGTTACTTTTACTTTTGGAATGCGATGTATACTAAAAAATGCACCCCGAAACGCTGATTCCAAATCTGTGCTCGATATCTGCGAAACGATCTTCTGAAGAAAGTTATGAACTTTTTTTGTAGAAAATTTGCGTACTTTCGTGTAGTTAAAATCACCAAATTTGTTCTAAGTTACCATTCGAAGCTATTGAAGAGAATCTTAAAATGAATACTATTGTGATATACCTATCTAAATCATACTCAGTTTGAAAAGGAAAGAAAATTTTCAATGATGATTTTGACCCTTCGAAGTAACGCAGTTTATTCATGAAAAAATAACCATAACTCCATCCAGATTATCGTTTCGCAGATATGGAAGACACTATTCGAACCAGCATTAAAAGGCGCATTTTTTGATATACAAACCATTATGAATGGCCGCGGTGACCAACTATCCTTCCCTTGTTAGCAATGCACGGTACGGCCAAGTGTAATCGAATATAGATACCTGTAAATCCAGTTCAAGATGTACAGTGCACGATACATTCCGAGCGCGAATAAGTAGTGGGCAGTGATTGTCTCAGCTGATCCAAGGGCTTGCAGCATAAATAACTGAGGCATGATAGCTACGGCTTCCAGGTATATACTGCAATGTGAGATAAAGTCGAAAGAATAATGATAGTTATGAAGCAAACCTGAATGTCCACAAAATCTCCATTGTTGAAAACTCGTGATTGATGAGGAACGATAGAAGAACGCAGGGTATCAGCAATAGTTCAACGCGAAAACTATCCGACTCTTTCTCATATGTAGGACGGAATTTGAAGAGCATGAGATACAAAGTTCCATAGGAAGAAATTATGAAAAACACCTATATGATAAACATTTCCTGGGAAGAAATATCAAAGAAAAACTGAGACCTTCATGACAGTGTTGTAGTAGGAGATGAATGTTGTGAAAAGATCCAGATATCTGGCAGTGAACACGATAGCAAACAAAATTTGGGAGCGAGCAGATATTCCGGAAACCGAGCGGGTCTTCCACATCGAAAAGAAAAATACTTACAGTCGATTAAGTCTAAAGGGACGTATGTCAAAATCATACCTTTGCCAAGAGAATGAAAATCGCAATGAGATGCGACATATCAGCAGTGAGCCGAAAGATGTTCATTATTCCCTTTTGTTTGACAATTGATAACCTGAAACAAACATGAATAAGAGACAACTGTAACCACTAACCGACTACGAGTCAAATGAAAGATCATGGGTTCCAGTCATATCGGCGTTTGGGATGCGGTATTCCAACTATTGACACTCTACAACAAATCCTAAGATAACGCTCTGAGAGTAAATTTCTGAAGAAGGATCAATTCACAAACCGAGTAAATTCGATAGACCTAGCTGATGGTAAGTTTTTTGACAGACGTTTCGGAGTTCTTACGGGTAGGTCTCATATGCAACAACACATGATCCCCTCCCAATAACTAAACCATTTTGCGTCAGTAATTCCTTTCTAGCAAACTTAATCCGCGGCTTTTCTCCTCTTGCCATCAAATATCTTACTTAATTGAAAAAATGTTGCTGGTCCTTTTTCATAGGGAAGTGTCCTACGTGTGAGTAGCAATACTTGCTTGACTCGAGATACAGCACACAAACCCTAGATATGGTAAAAGCGAAGCGGTAAAGTGCTGGGTTCATTGCTATACAGCAGTCTATTGAAGATCAATGACGATTCGGCCAAGACATTACAATGTAAGTGAACGCGCTTACGACGAGCTCAATCTGCATCCACATACAAGAGAAAATGCTGTGATAGCATAAAGTCGTATAAATCTTCGTACATGCTTTGCCCCATGAAAGTCATAAAGCATACAAACGCAAGTTTACATGTAAAGAAATCAGAAAACTTAAAGAATGATACGAATTAGTTTAAAAATGGCCAACACAAGATTTTACAGTAGCGCCGTTTGATGCAGGGACATCGCTGGAGGACCCATCTTTCGAGTAGTCAAAACCGAGCTTTCATTCACATGGGGTGGCGGAATGGACGGTTATCGTGACATTTAATCCTGTGTTAAGTAGGTTATGCGCACCTAACTGATAACTGTGTTCGCACTTTTCTGAGTCATAAAAAGAAGTATTTTCCAAGATTGACACTAAGAAGTTGAGCGCAACGGCATGTGCTGCAAATCATCAACGAACGACACGCAGAGACAATTGGAAGGAGTAGCATCGTGGAAGAGCGCGTATTGCAGGGCGAAGCAAAGGTGACCTGGCAGTGTCGTCTAGTTGTAATGCATCACATTACAGTGGCGGCAGTATCTGTCGGTTTCACTAGTGTCTCATTGATCGAAGATGCGTTTAGCTCGAGACCGTCACGAGATGGTGAATTTTATTTGGACTAAGAAGCCTTCGCCACTCCCCCACCCCCTTCCCTTCCACTCTGCCAACAATTCGCGTACGTGGATTTATAGCTGTCACTTACTTGACACATCTTGCGAACCCACATATTGTCCCCGCACCTGGTCAAACCTCGCAACAATCGCACTTGTATGGTCGTTCTGCTTTGCAGAAACCTACTTTGGATTTTCGCTGCAATATACCTGCTTAGTTCTCCTTTGTTTCTTGAACCAGCAACTGCTGTACCGTTTTAAATTAGCCCATTTTCTGTCCAGGCACTTGTAACTTTGGAAGCTCCTCATGATTTGAAGAACCTCTTTCAAAGCAGGAACATGCATGCCCTTCTTTGTTGTCGCTTAGTACTAGTTCAGAGCATGAAAGCTGCTCTGTAGTTAAACTGCAATCTTTGTCTCTTAGCAACGCATCACTCTTGGCATTCTATCATGAGTTGGTTTTCATTCACTACAGTTTAGTCGTTTTTGTGAATCTAATGATCTGCTCCCTATCAGTAATCTCTTTGGTATACGTGGCTACCCAAACTACACTCTATCTGGATTGTAGCAGACAGTTTGCTCATCCGTTGCCATCTGCATTTTAGATTGGAATGCAGCGCTATTTCTCCACAATCTCATATTTAGCTGAATCTTTCTACGTTGGGCTACGCTAATTAGGAACGTTATTAACACGTTCACGACAAAACGACCCACCTGTGGGTCGTATGCTTTCTGAACTTTTTGATTTTGCTAGTTTACGTTGAAACTTTTTGGGCAAATTGAGTAGACTTTTGCATACAACTCTTGGAATAGTTGCCAAATGATTAACAATTTAGACCCATCAGTGATTAGAAAATATTATGCTATGTCAATATTGCGAATGCTCTGGTCCGAAATGGGAGGGACCGTAGATTCGCCCGCAGGAACGATTACTTTTGGATTGGAGCAGGAATCCTCCGTAGAGCACATTATCCTTCCAACGCTGAGTTTGAGGATGCGCTTGCCAAATAACTCAATGTTGGGTCTTGCAACTCTATTACTGCAACTCTAATCTCCGTATCAAGCTTGTCGAGCCACTTTCTCTGGTCGTGATATGCCCTGACTTATATCGGTGAAGCTTTTGCGCTCGGATGTACTCAATTACGGCTAACACTTTTTTTGCAGACGCTCTTGCCGCGTCTGTCATTTGAGCGGACTTCTTCTAGTGCCATGCTTGGCAACAGAAATCTATCCGAGAATGTTTGAATTGGCAACAAATTTGTGCAAGTTGTGTACATTATCAAACTATCTTCCAGTAAACGTGGAACAAAGACTGATTTCATGAGGGCATCGCAGTTCAATGCATAAAGTAAAGCATGCGGAATAAAAAATACATCGCAGCGCCTTATTGCTCCGAAAAGGAGAACATTTCACAGTGTCAAGCTCTGCCATGATTTGCTTTGTAGTATTTCAGATTTACTTGAATCATTCAGGCCTAATGTAGAATCATTCTCCTTTTGTCATTTTATCATGTTCTTGTAAATCTGAAACACTGCAAGAGCTGACATGAGAACTGGAGTCATAGTTCAAGTTTGTTGAAGGTGACTTTGCAATTCTAATTGCAAAGGTCTCGGTTAATGGTGCCTACATTTTCGACAAACTAAGTCGTAAAACCTAAGCATCAGCATTTCAATTCTTTTGCAAACTTATATTCTTGGCGAGCTTTGAAAAATGAAGTTCAGCGGTCTTTTTCCTCGTTACATTTCTGAGGAAAGCTCTATGCATCTGATACTTGAATTAGCCTTTTAGGTCCAAGCAGCATGATGTATGGTGACAAAAATCTACGGCGTATCCCTAAACAATGTGCACACTGTATGATCGTTAATAACTCTCTTGCCTTCATGTCTTTTTGAAGAGGGCTGTACAAATTTGACGGAGCTGAAAAAAACAACTACTTCTCAAGAGCGAAGGCCATTTATGCTCATACACTGTAAACTACGCATGTGCATATCATTAAAAAGAATAACAACCTCGACAATAAGCTGTCAACATGGTTAATATTTATTTTTCTCCTTACCTTCGTACCTGAAATTTTCTCAACACAGCGATTTCACTTTGACAAAAGCACAAAAGAACAAATCTTGGCCGCTCTCGAGAAGTCACGGCAAGAAGACGACGATCAACCGCTGATCAGTGCGCAACATTCACAATCAGAGACAAACTACGATGTTAAGAAGCTGGTATGATCGTCTCCACGATTCGTGTAGAGGCGGGTTGCGGACTTCCCCTGATTTTAAGGATGAACTTGTTAAACCTCTACTCATAGCATTGTTCTTTGCACTCTCTCGCTATCAAAAACCGCACGCTTTGAGTTGGCAAGACTCCGCCTCTACACGAATCGTGGAGTCGATGATACAAGTTAGTTTCCTAGTGCCACCTTTTTTGCAAGAAGTTCGCTTATAGGCAGACTCCCCAATAGTCAAGGCATTCACTGAAGCTGAAAGGAGACGGTTTTCCAGATCGAAAAATTGATATCTACTAAAGAGAAGAGGAAAAGGCAAATCAAACTTTTATGTACAAATTCAACCGCATCAACGAAGAATTTTGTACTTGATGCTGATAGTAATGGAAACTTAGGGTGCCTTCATACCGCGCCGGCAGCCGCCGCTGGCAGCCCGTAGCAGCCCGCAGCAGCCGCCAGCAGCCCGTAGCAGCCGCCAGCAGCCCGTAGCCGCCGCTGGCCGCCTTTGTCATAGAAGCGCAAATCATCAAATTCTTAGTCCTTTCCTGCGCCTGCCCATATTTTCCATCTTCAACGCCGATGTGATATGACTGAAGCAGAACATACCTGAAAAAATCAAATAGCAACCTGCAGGAAGTGGACGCATCCAAAGTCAGAAGAAATCACACTGCGAAGAAACTTTGGCGAAATATGGTTCAATTGCGAGAGGGAAACTGAGCATCGATAGGATAACCAATCTACGGTAACAAGATAATAACAAGAACGGACAAGGTATGTTGTTATATGAGATGAAACTGCGGCAACAGAAAGGAATAAGCGTAGAGGATGGAGGGCGTAGGCGGTTGCACTTAAAATAGTAAGAATTTGATGATTTTGCGCTTGTACGACAAAAGCGGCCAGCGGCGGCTACGGGCTGCCACGGGCTGCTGGCGGCTGCTGTGGGCTGCCACGAGCTGCTGGCGGCTGCTGCGGACTGCTGGCGGCTGCCAGCGGCTGCTGCGGGCTGCTACGGGCTGCCAGCGGCTGCTACGGGCTGCCAGCGACGGCTGCTGGCGCGGTATGAAGGCACCCTTAGAGCTTGAGTAACTCATCTTATGCTGTAACTCTGCGCGGTTTCCCAAAATCAGTTTCCGCTGGCGATACCCATTTGTCCAGATTTGCCTGGACGCCGCTTCCAAAGAAAGTGGCTCGGCAAGCTTGATACGGAGATTAGAGTTGCAGTAATAGAGTTGCAAGACGCAACATTGAGTTATTTGGCAAGCGCATCCTCAAATTCAGCGTTGGAAGGATAATGTGCTCTACGGAGGATTCCTGCTCCAATCCAAAAGTAATCGTTCCTGCGGGCGAATCTACGATCCCTCCCGAAATGGCAGTCATGAGAAATCGGCCTTGTCGTAATGTGTTGAATGTAGCGTCCAGGCAAATCTGGACCTATGAGGATTTTACGAGGAAAGTAATTTTGGGGCCCTAACTAAGGCACTGCCCAACCGGCAGCTCAGTTAGTGTTCTAACGGCTGGGATATTCGCCTCCAAACTGGACCCCAGGATCGTTCGAATGGATTCATGCCGCGACACATCAATTCCGCGTGGGTCCTCGCGCGAAAGCATGCAAACACGATGCAAGTTGTCCGATAATACGATCCTGCGGTCCAGTGTGGGGGCGTACAACTCAGCATTTAGTGAGTAATTTGCGCTGCCGCTTGGGCCATTCCTTAGTTAGGGCCCCAAGATTACATTGGACGTAAAATCCCCAGAGGTCTAGATCTGTCTGGACGCTGCCTTTAAAGACAGTGTCCGGGCAAAAAGTCGATTTTGAGGTTTCATGCTTAGAGCTTTAACGCAGGGGCGGGGTCCTCCCCACTATGAACTTCGCAGTCCCAGCTTCTGGAGCGATCTTCCCAATTCCTCTAGCGTCTTGAGATCTCCACTGGCCAGATGCGAATGCATTACTTGAACTCGGAACCGAGAAGATCGCTCTGGAAGCTGGGAGCGTGAATTCACTGTGGGGAGGACCCCGCCCACCTGCTGATTTCCCTCCCGTGTTAGAGCCGTTTTTCGCCGTTTTCGCGCTCTCCAATGTGCATTTTTGGATTCAGCGTAGCGAATAGGCCCGGGTAAGCAAAAAATCTCAAGATCGAGTTTTTGCCCGGACACTGCCTTTAAAGGTACCGTCCACCGGCTGAGGGTCTTGAGCTTTTGGCAGCATATGATAGTAGGGCCCGCTATCAAGCCAGTGCCCAAGTCGTGGTCCAAAATGTTGCCAGAAGCGAAAAAATCGCTCCGGAATAACGAGGATGCACAAGGACCCGCAGACGGTGCCGCCATCCCCATCCATGCCCGCCCATCCGTGCGCGCCCATCCAATCACTGTTGCGAAGAATCGACCTGCGGGTTCTCCGGAACGGGGATTGCGGGGTTTTCGTGGATTCCCGATTTTCGGAATCAGGGACATAAGAAGGCCTTGTAACGACAAAAACGGGAAGTCGAGAATCTGGGGGACGGTGCCTTCAAGTCGCGAGCGTACGAGTCAATGATGGAAGATACTCGACGGCGTTCGTACCTGCTGCGCACTAAACCGACCGCCTTCGTCAAAAATCAGCTTTCAATGGTGAGCTCAAAGGGCGCATTTGAGTTTTTGGGCGCAGGCATTACGTGACCTCGTACCTGTTTGTCGTCGGCTGCACGTCAGGGGGTGTAGGCCCGAAGGCGACAAAACCCAGTTGGAGCGAGCGCATGGAGGCCACACCCCTCATGAGCGCCTGTGACACCGAGCGCGAGGTCAATCACAGGACTGACGCTCTTTCGGCACACGCGCTGGCGCACTAATGGTAGCAGCATTTTTCGGAGTTCCTATTGACTTACTTGTTGCCTAGAGTAAAATTACTGGTCAAATATGGGCTAAGCAGTGTACGGAGTAAATGTGTCACTGGAACCTACTTATCTCCTTGTTGGTACTTGTCCATAAGTTTGGTGATGTAACTTTTTCAAAATTAAAAAGATCAAGCATTACAGACCTACGAAACACGTTATTATAGCTTTGGAACGAGAGAACACAATTACAATTCACCAGAAAAGACGGATTATAAGCACATCAATTTCTTCGAAGGCGCTTCTTTTGATCTAGGAGTGCAGTTCTGCCGCGATCTTCATTCTTTTGATTTACGGAAGTCGATTTGTCACATTCAGATTCATAGATTATGCATTATAGCGACTGAGCTTGTCATGAACCGTAATCAGGACATGACAAAGGCAGAGCGTGGTACTGTTCAAACAGACAAGATATCAAAACGATCATACTGTTGCAAGTCAGCTCCCTTTCGGTGGAAGAAATACACTCATTTTGCCGCAAATCCAAAATTGTCTAATTACTTGACCGGTTTAGAAACCTGCATTCTGTTTATCATCAATTCTATGACCTTTCTCGTGCTTTTCTGCGCTGTTCTGTCCTACAGTTTGTACGGTAGTCTTTATTCTCAATGAAAAAAAGGCAGCGATGCTAACAATAAGAAAAAAAAGAATGGTTTTTATCATTAACACATTACAGTGTATTGCAAGCGACAGCTGAAATCAAAAAAAATGAAGTGCTCGAATAATCTCAAAATCGAGATCCCACCGCAGAATGCGTCCTTGCTCGAAGTGCTCCAAATCTTCTTCTGTGTTCAGCCTGAAGAAAAGTCGTGTTGTAAAGAAGATGCAAAAGAATGATAGCTCACCTTTACTTGATATAACTGGCTTACAGTACCGTTGTTGAGTGGAATTCTACTCACATTTTATCCGTTCCATCATCAACTTGGACGAGATCTGCACAAGAACTAATTAACATGTAAAAATAGAGTTAACTTAACACATCACTCAAGAACGCAGGTGTCTATTAACCTCCTTACTAAAATTATCTTTTATTGCACTATGCTGCAGCCTGAAACAAAATTTTCTACAAAAGGCAGTTTTGAAGAGCATATGCTTACAGATAGGCAAATACAAAATAATGCAAATCATCACATTACCACAGTGAGCAATAATATACATACACAAAAAACATGTTCAAAAAACTGCGTGAGAAGAAACGGCGAAGTCAGAGATTGAGAGAGCCATGCGCAATGTGTGTAAAGGCGCCCCAATCCAAATATCCAGAGCATTCTAACAAAGGGGAACTCACAGGGCGTGGCCACTAGCTGCGCCTGTCCTAGGTCATTTGTCGCCTTCCGGACGTTCCCCCACGTTAGGAGGTACGCCGCGCGCGGTGGCCCCCTTGCCGTGCATGCCGCGTTCAGCCGGGACCCACAAAACTCCCTACTATTAACACATTTACGACAAGGCCGACTTTTCGATCACAGCCGTTTCGGACCAGAGTCTTTTTCGTTTTGTAAAACTTACGACTCACCCGTGAGTCGTATTGTCCGAAATAGTAGTCTTTTTGGAAAAGGTTCAAAACGTGTCTCCGGGAATATGCCCAGAGGACATATCGAGGGGGTTGAATATCAAAATCTAATTTATTTCGGTTTTTGGCATTATACTGTAAGATTAAGGTAGTCGTTCTGTAAGAAACCAAACTCATGGCTTTTCATTAAAAATTATTTTTGGGGTTATTTCACGTGTGGTCACGATTGTAGTGTCCACTTTGTTCACTACTGTTGACTACTACTACCGTAGGACTACCGTAGCAGTCGGTGGAATTTTAGTAAAAATCAAAGCACTGGTGTGAGAAGGCCGTATTAGAACTTGATACTGAAATTCTCGTAATCAGCATGCTAAAAACCTATACATGTAAGATTTCAGCTTCTTGGGATGAACAAATGCAAAAACCAAAAACTAGAATCGATATTTTTTGATGGGCTAACATCGTCGCTTGCCCCCCCCCCCCTCGTATAGTAAGTTCCAACTCAGTTTAGGCGGAAACTGGACTGGCGGAAGTCCGCTTCGCAACGATTCGCGCTCTTTTGCAGTCTGCGTCTCTTCATTCTAACCTATCTCACTAAGCCGGTGGCGATGCGGACGCGCTGCTCCACTTTGAAAGTTTCGCCTACTCCAAATTGGAAGAGACTGTATTTCTCGTGCATGTACACTTGAATATTCAGAACAGCATCATTCTGCGAAGAATTCCAGCTGGAGTCTGTGCCTTACCTCTATCTACGGTATGCCCACCGTAACATTACAGTATCCCAAGCCTGGACCACTGTGGTTGGTGCTTCGCCTAGGTGTACTCAATCAAGTGCCAGAATCTCGTAAAATTCCATCGTAAGAAGAGAAGAGCTTCATGACTTTTATGACCCACCGGTGGGTCGTATTGTCCGAAATGGCAAAACACGTAAGACCCACCGGTGGGTCGATGAATGCGTTGAAGATTCCCGGCGGCAAAAACAGGGGGGGGTGGGGAAGATAACTCGATGTTATAAGTAACATTGCGCCAGGAGCGCTGCTGTTGTATTGGCCGAAATAGAGGTAGACCGGTAGAGCACAAAAACCTTACTTCAAATTATGCTCGCAATTTGATCTGGGTGCTGTTCTCTACCGCAACTAGCCTGCTACACGCAAAATTGAAAGTGTTTACAAGATGGCTACCAAAATGAAGACGACTATATAATCGCCCCAGCCCCGCGTCAGGACGTAGCATAAGTAGCATAACACAAGAAGTGCTGGATCCGGTACATTCTGTCGCGGCACCGCTTTGCGAAAAATACGCAGCGATCGTGCCTCCTGGCCTTTACCCAACCACATATAATTTTTTTTCATTTATACGGCAATCACAACAAGTGTTGGGTATATGTCATACTTTGACCTACCGTAAGGCTTTAGTCTGACAAGCAGATGTGATATAGCCAATGCGCATGTTTTAGATGGGGGAACAAACCGCGTCCAGCACGAGGTGGCATTGCGACTTTAGAAGAATTGATATCGCTGCTTTTTTCCGTTTGCAAAGACGTTACTGGTATTGCCGTAGCAGCAGAGGGTCGAGAAGTGAGTTAAGGTGAGTACTCATAAGTAGAGCTTGAATTAAACGATAGTTTAGGTAAAAATTTCTGGAAAAAATATGTGAGGAATGGCTTTGTTTGGTAGCGCACAATTTTAGGATGCTCCCAGGTTGAGACAGCAATCTAAATCAGGGAAACACTTACCACATGGTCGATAGGCATTATTCGACATGTTGATCACAAATATCTTACTCTTTACTATCTTATTTTATGCATAATATTAGGTCACTCCGAAAGTAATTTCGCTTTTTTCAAACCGGCGCCACATTTGATAGAACAAAGGTTTTTAAGAGATCTGGGATGCATTCGATGCAGAATTTCATTCTCTTTCTAATGGTTACGAAATTGTTGCAAAACAGTCAATGAGCTTTCAGAAAATAACCAAAATTTGCGACCCATGCTTTTTGAGATGGTCAAGTTTCACGATTTTTTAAAACTTTCATATCAATCTTCAGAAGGAGTTCAAGTAACGATTCGATAAAGTAAACCTTATTGAATACAGAACTGCTTTTTTCCCCTTTTCATATCTTGTCATACATTTTTAACAGAATTTTAACTGATGCTACCGATTTCCATACTTGGGCAGCTAAATCCTCGTAGAACATCAAAAGAAGAGCAGCTCGCGCATTATTCGATGCAGCATTTTCTCCTCTTTCTAACAGGTGTTTTTCGTTTTCAATTTGTTTACTTTCCGGAGATAAATCATCATAACTCATTTTTCTAGCGAGCCCCAGTCTGTACCCGAAAAACACGAAATTTGATATTCCGAATCCGTAAACCCTCACTTACTTTGTAAAATTAATGCTAACTCATAGTACCATCTTGGTAGTCTCATATTCCGAATAATTACGATGTTTGATGCGATTGTGGCCGATGTGGGCCTGCCAAAATACGATGGTTTTGTTAAAAAATCTTTTAAAAAATTACGGCGACCTACGAGAAAGAGACAAAAGTAGAGCTGTATTCTATAAGGTTTGCTCTACCTAATCGTTATTTCTCCTTCTGAGGATTGATATTAAAGTTTTGAAAAATTGTGAAATTTGACAATCTCAAAAAGCATGGGTCGCAGGTTTTGGATATTTTCCGAAAGCTCAATGACTGCGCTGCAAAGATTTCACTACTTTTAAAAAAAGAATGAAATACTGCATCGAATGCTACCAAGATCACCTCAAAATGTTTGTTCCATCACATGTGGCGTCCGTTTGAAAAAAGCGGAACTACTTTCGGAATGACCTAATACATTCACGTGGAGTTATGGAGGTGTACGCTAGGAGATCAGAATTATGGACTTGGCTCTCGGTTATCATGGTCTCTTCGCTCAAAATGCCATCTTGGGTGGTTGGAATGGTAGAACCAAATCTGTTATCAGGGGTCAACAAATTACGAATATGACACTCAGCGTGCACGAAGCGGCCATTTTGTGGAATTACGCTGACCTAGCAAGTGCATAGTATAGTTGTAACGAACGGAAATCTTCATCGATTGGACGAATATCGAGTAATTGATTTTTGGAATTTTTTCGAATGGACGAATATTATTTTACTGACGTTCATATTACTCGAATTCAAATATTCGATTATGGGCATATTCCAAAATTCGATTCGAATATCCGAATAACTGAACTTGCTCGAATATTACTAATACTTGAATATTCGAATATTCGAAACTTTGAATGCATTATTCGAATATGCAAGAAAGCTCGCATATGTAACATACGACTTACATTTTTGCACTCGAATGTTCGATCATGTACTTCTCTTTGATTATTCGAATATTCGAATAACAGTTTTTCAAAACTTCTCGAATATTGGAATATTCGAATAACTGTCTTCCAAAATTCGTCTAATACTCGAACAGCGAATATGACATTTCTTGCGCGAACGAATGAATACTCGGATAAAAGTCTTTTTCATTTATTCGACTCAATTTTTTATTTGAATAGTCGAATAAATTCACTCTTTCAAATATTCGACTATTCGAACGTTCGGATAGTCGAACATTTCAGATAGATTATTCAAGTACGAGTATTCGGTTCCAACTATAGTGCATACACTATCGGCGGGCCTCATAAAATTGCGCAAGCGATTTGTTTTTCTTATAAATTATCAGAGCAATTTTCTACTTTACAGAAACTTAATTCAGCCTTGAAAAAGTCTTCTTGGGATGTGGCTACCGCTGCGCCCCTTTTCCTAAAATGGTATAGGCCCGCAAAAACTCCGGGAAGCATTATAAAACATTTTTCGGAGGGCGGGTCTAGCGCCACCCCCTTCATTTCAATATTTTTTGTCGCCCACCTCCTTTCTTTCCCCTTCGCTTCCCAAATGAAATATCTAAGACCGCCACTGGAAGAAATTTACTCGGTGGTCCTACCGGGGATTGGTCACAGGCCGTTTTGCCACCTGAAGACGCATCACTGGATGTGCCTCGAAGGCAGTGTCTGAAGGTTGTGTGAGTAATGCCATGTGAGCGGACGCTCTCGGACGGCGCTCTTACGCCACTGCACAAGGGCGAGTTGTAATTAGGGTCAAGCGTTGGCTGTGGCACCCCACACCGGGGGTTTATATCGAGGGGTCAGGGAAGAGGGGGGGGGGTCGTTATCGAGGTGACACCTATGTTAGCGTCTACGCCTACATGATATTCGTTAACGATGTCAGATAGGCCCATTATGCAAAATATTAGCACATTGATGTTTTGGCCTACCATCGTTTACGTAGAGTAAGCACATAATAAAAGAGTCTCAAAAGCGCAACAGCATCATTTTCTTAACTAGCATGTCAAAAAACCTCCGTGGGCCAAGTTTTAGCGAATTGAAGT